GGAAACTAGAACTAAATGTAAATAGTGTTGAGATGAAGCTTACCTCCTCCTGGGGAAATGGTCTGTCCTAGTTTCAAATTCTAGATGATCTTGTCCATCTGGAATGAGGTCTGTAAATGCGGCAACAAACAAGTTATAGTGTTTTCCCTTGGTTAAGACATTGCATCAGTATTGTATGCCAGCTGTAGTAGTAGCACCAGTACATTCAGATTGTTAATTACATTGTCTTTTATTCATCCCATAGACTCTCACCTTCTATGGTTTATACATCCCAATTAGGCAATCACTCATCTTTCTCTGAGCGCGAGCATTCTTTTATTACAGATATGCACAATAGCATACTGGCAAGTTACTAAGGTATAGTATAGTATGATTCTTATTTTTACGGGGACAGTGTACAATAGACAGTGGATCAGTTGGTAGAGCCTGGCCTTTGAGCCTGAAGGTCGTGGGTTCTAGCCCACCATAAGACCTCCTTCACGACTCCCACTGATGACTGCTGTCGTTGTGTCCTTGGGCAAGACACTTAACCCCACTTTGCCTGAAGCTCCCACTGAAAGATCTCAGCTCCTGTGGACTCGTCACCTGCAGGAGGATCAGTGAGGGGCTGGTGCTATGTGTACTGGGTGCAGCTCTGACTGCCACCCCCCCGACCCAGAAATGGATTAAGGGGAAGAAAATGGATGGATGGATGGACAGTGCACAATAGACGTTAGACAAAAGAAGAGATGCTCTGTACCAGGTTGTAGCAGCAGTGCTAATTTACACCCGTAGTCCCTGAACAGGTTGTTGTAAACAGTAAAATAAAAGTAGATGGATACATTACCATACATTATCAGACAAAATTACTAAATAAAAGAACATGATATATCATGTTTGAGGAATGTCTGTGGGTTCGATCCCCCCACGATTCATGTCATGCCTCCCAATGATGTCCGCTGACGTTGTGTCCCTCGGCAAGACACTTGACCGCACTTTACCTCGAGTCCATGTTGAAAGACCAAGGCCATGTTTTCGGTGACAGACAAGCTTTTCAGTGCACCAGAAATGGACTAATAAAGGGGACATAATGTTTGAATGTGTTCAAGAGTGCTACAAGCACTCTCAACAGATAAGCACATTCAACACATCCAAAGTGAATGTCTGAGACAAACAGAAGAATGTTGGATGCTAAAAAGCAGCGCTAACTGGGAAGCACAAATAGAGTACCAAAATAACCACAACACCTAACCCCATGCCAATCCAAATGAGGAAGCCAAGGAAAATGCTTTTATCTACCGCAAGGAGAAGTGGAAAAGACTTAGCTGCTATACTTAAGAAAGACACATTTTACTAAAATGGGTCACAACAAGGCACAGCTCAGGAATATGAGCTTGTCAAAGAAGTACTACCGGTAGATGGAGTTAAAGCTTAAATTGTGATAAACATGGCAGAAAATAATATAATATAGTTTTATAGTTTATCAATATGCATGCATGGATGGAATCAAGTTCATTTGGGGTTGATAATTGTATCAGCAGTGGTTTGACAAATATTGATACTGTACCTATCAGACACTTTTTTTAATCAGTCAAATTATTAGTCTTGTCCAGCCTACCGGTAAAAACAAAAATGTATTTGTCCACACAACAGGTGTACCAGGACTCATGTTGTAACACAGTCCTATTCATTACCATATGTGGCTTAACAGTTAATTTGGTTTATTGAGGTCAAAATTCGCTTAAATGGGAGACTTAATTTTCATACATTCACATCAGAGAGATCTTGCCACGTCATAAAGTCAGAGTTTTATCTCTATCTTTTGCGACCAATATTTTCATTTTTTACTGCAAATGAATATAAGCTAATTCACTATCCATATCAGTGGCATGCAAAAACCCATCTTAAGTTTTTATTGTATTGTGAGTGTGTGATTCCCAACCAGATGACAAAAATTCTCTCAAATCGTTGAAATCTGCATGCAAACAAAGCAGAACTCATTGCAATACATTTACTGCAATGATTATTTGAAATCATTACTTTTTTTTATATTAACCCCAAGTTTCTTTGCAAACAGTGTGAGATTCAGACCTATGCAGCATGGGTGACGGTGATGGAGCGTGTGTCCTTTCCTCCTGCTCACTCAGCCATTGAACTAGGCCTTGTAAACTACATTCAACTTGATTACTTTGTCAGTCTTTTTAAGTGGATTTTCCCGTCACTCCAAGACCAAGAGAAGAGAAGAGAAGACACGCTGCAAGAAATTAGTAAGTAAGTAAGTACTGTAAGTAAGTAAGTAAGCTTTATTTATATGACGGTCTGTCACATAAACAATGACAATGTTTAATGAAGAATTGTGTAAGCCTTTCAATAGTTTTGCTTATGGCAGACATTGGAGACTTTTAAAACATGCTGCAATGAATGGCCTTGGGAATAAAGTTTGCTCAAAAAACCTGTGCTCTCAAGGCAAAACGATCAGCTGTCAATGGCTGTCAGAGAGAGATGGTTCAACACTGCCTCCTGTTGGTTAAGAAATACTTTTGTAAATGTTGTATTCTTTTGCCATAGAGTGAGGCTGTTATAATCTACCCTTCTAATTATGCATAGATTATCTTTCAGAGGTTTTAGTACAGCTCTAGCAGCTTTTTTGTGCAAGTCAACGACCATAATACTACATGTAAATCATTGGCAGAGATAGGTTCAATAACATAAAGCAGCATCATGGTTTTTATGTGGGAAAAAAGCTGACAACCTGCTTCAGCTGATCTGACCTTGTAGAGGCCCAGTGGTAGCATGAGTGGGCAGAATGGTGCTGTAACTTTTGATCATGGTTGTTTCTACAGTGCCCCAGGATCAATTATTTTGTAGGTTTTCTAGTGCAGGGATCCATCAGCACTTCCAAACTTCCAAACTTCCAAATAATTAATCCTATAGCATCCTAAAGACCACTGTGATGGAAAGTAAAGGCACCAAGCTATCTTTTTTCCACATAAAAAGTTGTGTAATGCCCTTATAAGTACATTCATTTAAGCAACCTTTAATATTCCTAAAAGTAGAGGTGCACTTTATTCCCACAGATTCTCACATTTTGGCCCCAAGTACAGACAATTCTGGTGTTTGTGAGTAAATACTTGCATTCTAGGGGTGCTATACATAAAATCAATCTCACATTTTGTAAAGATTTTGCTTAGTTTGTACCTACGGCTATTCTGTGTAAAGTGTGTAATTTCTGTTATTTCCTCACAGTGAGGAGTTAGAGCATGAGATGATGGTGATTTCGACAGACACATACACGATGAGCCGTATCATCTCTGCTCCACTGAAGCAGAGGGAGGCATGCTGAGGAAGATGACAGGAAGTGAGATTATTCAGAGGAGAAACGTGAGCTGTAACCTATGTGCAAGAGCCTAAACACTGAACAATGACAGGTAGTGGAAAAAGGAGATTTCTCTGAATCATTGAATAGACTGCTTTGTTTGTACGTCATATTAAAGCTTTAGCACAGTGGCACAGTGGATTGCACTCTGACTTCTCAGCAAGGTCTAGAGTTTGAATGGGGTCTTTCTGAGTGGATTTTACATGTTCTCCCTGTTTCTGTGTAGATTGCCTCCAGGTGCTTCGGTTTCCCCTACCACTAAAAGCATGCACAGTAGGTAATGCTCGGCCTGGTCCTGACCAGTGTCAACATCTGGAGATGGGTTCAACAACGACAACCACTGTTTCTGACAGGATGGGTCAAATGCAGATTTGTACCTTAACAATGTGAGATTTTATAACACTTTTAAGCAACTTTTGTTAAAGTTAAACTCATCATTCTTACATGTGCAGAAGCCTGTACTTTTCCACTTCATGTTTTGACTATCTCTGCTGGCACTGTGGCAGCTGCTGATTGGAGGTCTCTGTTTCTCCTGAGTATATTACCAGTCGCTGTCTTTAACATCCTTGTTCGTGTGCTTTGTTCGTGCTGTCTCTACCATTGACAATAAAACATGTCTTCTGTCTGAATTAAGACACGATCCCAGACATGCCATCTTCTTCAGGTGGTGGAAGGATGCGGGCATTGTCTGTAACATCTACAGAACAGAAGACTTTTTTTATTGTCAATGGTAGAGACTAGCACTACTCACTTGAAACTAGAACTGATTTAAATAATATTTATGGAACAGAAAGACATCAGTTCCGGGGTTCAAGTCGACCTCTTGACAAGGTGTTTCTGTGTGGAGTTTTCATGTTGCATGTTCTCCCCGTGTCTGTGTAGGTTTCCTCCAGGTGCTGCAGAGTGTGTACGTGGAGTTGCCACTCAGATTCTCAGGCAGAGCCCTGGCCATCCTCTTTCAGGTTGCTTGGTCATAGTTTGGGAGTGATGCTGCGAGATAATGAATGCAAATTAGCTCAAGGCCACAATCCACTATCCACTGCCATTGACTGATTAATCAGTCACTGCTCTCCCTCTCCGTCTGTGTCCCATGAATAATGTCTGGGGTTTGCCTGTAGACAGTGTTTTATTGAGCCAGCAGGTGTCGCTGCACTAAACAGAATCACACTCTGTAAACACACTGTCCCAATTAACCAAATAAACTAACGGGACCATATGATTTGAAACTGTGCGGTCTCATCACAAATATTATACATTTTGAGTTTAGCCATGGTATCTAAATTATATACTTTAACAAGTTTTGCTCAAGTTTGAAAGGTAGAATGATAGCAAGCGATCCATTAATTTAGGAATCTTAATCTTTTTTTTTTCTTCTTAGAAATTACTTCAGAACATGGTTGCAAAATCCACTGAAACCCGTATATTCTACTTATCATAGATCTGATCATTCCTATTCCTCTCTATGGAGGAAATGTAAGCTTATTACAGTTCTGTTGAGTCGTGAAACTATCGTACCTTCTCCGCAGTAGAAGTAAAAACCTTCTTCTACAAAAGTTATCGCTTTATTGTAGAAAGTAGTCCGGGGGCGGGACTTCCTGTCTCTGTGAAATCCACCAATCACAATCACTGAAGGACAAATATGAAAATGGCGGCTTTGTGCAGTGAGTTCGGGGACCTAGCAGAAATTAAAAAACAGCTCATTTCTGTGATTTATTTGTGTAAAGAGAGAGGACTTCAACACACTGCGAAATGGTACTACTCACAGCGACGAATGTACACGTTACTGTAAATCTATATCCATGTGCTTAGTGTTTACAAGAAGAGTTCTCTGTTAGCATTAGCGAGAGGAGCCCCGGTGATTCAACACAAGACATGTGTTGTTATTCTCGTGCGACAGCTGTTATAGTTGTTAGCATGAACCCTTTACCCACGCTAAAACGCTTTTAAAGACATCCATAAGCCAAAGAATACAGACAGCAGGTCTTCATGTGTGCTGTGTTTTCCTCCAGGGCATCTGAGCTCGCCTTTGCTTTGGATCCACTCCCTAAAGACGAGGTGCCTCCTGCTCCAGAGTTCACAGAGGTAACGTAATAAATGTGCTTTTCTTCATTTATTCATTGTTGCACACGTTTAAGTCATATGCCGTTTACAGCCATAATAATAAAGTAATGCACAACTCTATTGACCTCTGCTGGTTGCAAGTAGAACCGACACAGCTCATGGTTCTGTGGTAAATTGCAGGAAGATGCCAAGGATCTGGATGCACTGACTCTGGCTAAATCTTACTTTGACCTGAAAGAATATGATCGTGCTGCTTATTTTCTAAAAGACTGCTGCAGCAAGAAGGCTTATTTCCTCTACATGTATTCCCGTTACCTGGTAGGATCCTCTATTATGGTCTTATTACTTTTAATTATTTTGGAATTTAATATATAGTGTTTGTATTCGTCTGAAGTCTGGTGAAAAGAAGAAGGATGACGAGACTGTCGACAGCCTTGGTGGGAATTGAACAAAAGTTGTCCACAAAGAATGAGCACCCATCAGCACTAAATATGTTGCTCTTGTCTGGCAGGTCCCCTGGAAAAGGGTCAGGTGCGGAATGAAGCCCTGCGTGAACTTCGAGTCGAACTTAGCAAGAAGCACACAGCTTCTGAACTTGATGGCTTTACATTGTATTTGTAAGTTTCATCATAAGCTCTCTAGTATTTACTACCAACATTTAATAGTTAATATTTTAGGACCACCGGTAAGATGTATATACACTACAGTATGTACAAAATGTATCACAATGGTTTTGAAGATATGTATGTATTTAAATGTATTCAAAAACAATATTTTTTTACTGTCTTAGAATATGTTAGAAATATCAGGTGTTAGCTCATCAAAATGATTGATTTTTGTGCATTTTTGTCAATACCTCCCAAATCTTCTACAGGTATGGCGTGGTGCTGAGGAAGCTGGATTTGCTGAAGGAAGCTGTCGAAGTGTTCGTAGAGGCCATTCACGCACTTCCTCTGCATTGGGGAGCATGGCTGGAGCTCAGTAACTTGGTCACTAGCACTGAAATGGTAGCTTGGTTTATTTTCCATATTTAATGAATACAATGCAATGCAATAATACTCACATTGGTTCCTCTGTCCTCAGTTAAAGTCACTGTCTCTGCCTGATAGCTGGATCAGAGAGTTCTTCATGGCGCACATGTACACTGAGCTGCAGATGATCAAAGAGGCGCTGCAGAAGTATCAGAGTCTAATCGAGGCTGGTTTCTCTAAAAGCACTTACATCATCTCGCAGATTGCTGTCGCCTACCACAACATTAGAGGTGATTATTTTGATATTGGATAATAATAATAATAATAAAAGTTTAATAATCTATATTTATGATTTTATTTCAGATATTGACCAAGCCTTGTCTCTGTTTTATGAGTTAAGAACTCAGGATCCTTTCCGTATTGACAACATGGATACTTTTTCTAATCTGCTTTATGTTAAAGTGAGTCAATGCAAACATAGTATAATTATTATGTTACTACATACTGAACATCTGGTGTATAAATGCAGGGAATGAAGCCAGAGTTGAGCTTCCTTGCACACAACTTGGTGGAGATTGACAAATACAGAGTAGAAACATGTTGTGTCATAGGTAAGATTGAGTTGTATTCCCAGAACGTTTGTTGGAAAACTTGATTTGGATTTAAACTTTTTATTGTTTATATTTTTGTTTAGGAAACTACTACAGTTTGCGTTCTCAGCATGAAAAGGCAGCCTTGTATTTTCAAAGAGCTCTGAAACTCAATCCTCGATGTCTTGGTGCCTGGACTCTGATGGGACATGAGTATATGGAAATGAAGAACACATCTGCTGCCATTCAGGCCTACAGGTTAGAAAAGTATTCTCTATCTTTAAACATGTGACATCTGTCCCGTGTGGTTAATCACCATCTTTACTAGGCATGCTATTGAAGTGAACAAGAGAGACTACAGAGCTTGGTATGGATTAGGCCAGACCTATGAAATCCTGAAAATGCCCTTTTATTGTTTATACTATTACCGAAAGGCTCATCAACTTAGGTACCAAGGAAATATTTTATTTCTCATAGTATTCTCTAGATATGGCATTAAAACTTTTCCCCCCCCCAAGACCAAATGATTCACGGATGTTAGTCGCTCTTGGAGAAAGCTATGAAAGACTGTCCCAGCAAGTAGAAGCTAAAAAGGTACGTACATTAAAGTGGTTCTCACCCCCGCTCCTCGGAGCTTACGTTACTCACATTTCCTGTTCAAATCTTCCTCTAAATGGGCGTAGCCTGGAGGACTAAAGGGGGCGTGAACGAGACTGGGCCGTTTACATTGCTCTGGGCGGGGGGCTGCTGACGTCAGGTCCAACTTGCAGACGTCAGGTCCAACTTCTGTGCCAGTGTTGGCGCCAGATTCAAAATTCAAATGTAGTAATACAGGTCGCCAGCAGATGGCGCCTCACAGACGGTTTTAGGCAGAAAGTCTAACTTTCAACTAATTTGCACCAAAGTGACAAGATTATGACCAGGATATGTAGACAACACTATTGGACACTCATTTATACCGTTTATCAGCAAAAAAAGTGGATTTGAGGGTGAGTTGTCCTTTAAAAGAAAAATGGTTGTTTTCCGGAATCTCAATTTTTTGTTGTTGTTTCAGTGTTACTGGAGAGCATATTCGGTGGGAGATGTTGAGAAAATGGCCTTACTTAAACTGGCAAAGTAAGTAATAAGTCATTACTGATGGATGTCAAATGTTTTAAACGTACTCTTTGTAGGCTTCACGAACAGTTGAATGAGTCGGACGATGCTGCACAGTGTTACATGCTTTACATCCAGGACATATTCTCCTGTGGAGTAAGTTTTTAAATATTTTTAACTTGCAGTTGTCCACGTGTATTAAACTTGTATCATGTTGCTCGACAGGAACAATTGGAGCATGCAGAGGTGAGCACAGCCCTCCGGTACCTGGGTCAGTATTATTTCAAGAATAAATTGTATGATGAGGCGTCCCTGTGTGCTCAGCGCTGCTGCGACTACAATGATGTGAGTGCATACCATTTCACTATTTAGTCTTTCCTGCTTCGGTTTCTAATTAATGACTTTATAGGCTCGAGAAGAAGGAAAAGCTTTGCTGCGACAGATCTCACAGGTCAGAGATCAGATAGAAACACCGTCTGCAGATTTATTTGTTCCGCTATCGAATAACACGCCTGTGAGGAGGGTGTCGCCTCTTAACCTCATTTCCTTCACCCCCTGAGGTCATAATGCTCAAGAACTGATTTTAAAATCTTCAACTATTTTACTGCCATAGAATTCTGGACATCAACTTGCAATTAATGTGAAATACTTTTACAGTTCAGGCGACCTGTATTGTTCACTTGTAGATAAAGGTATGTCATGCTTTATTAAAATGTAAATATTTTGTCAAAAACTGTATTTTTCATAACAAGAAATGTACAAAAGACAAAAAGAAATTACATAATAAATCAAAGTCCATATTTTTGGTATAAGAATGTGCATCAGAAACGATATACAGGCTAGAAAAAGGTTAAATGTGAAGAAATGGAAACTCACAAACCCATTATAGCAACAAACTATATATGATGTAATAACCAAATGGCTTAGTATTTTCCCCTGATGCTGCGAGGCATTGGAGCAGGGCTGGGGGGTGGAGACTGCTGCCGCGAGCGCAGGATTTGTGAATATGGAGTGAGGTTGTCATCTCCTGCTGCACGTGTATTGTACTTCCTGTTTGGAGTGCGTGTTGGGAATAAATTCTGGAAAAACTGTCGTTTTTCTGGAGGTCTGTTTTCGGCATCCCCTGCAGCACAGCCTCGTTTCTTGCAGGAGCCTGGGGTGGTAGAGGAGCATCCTGCAGGGGGCAGCAGAGGCCTGGTGGGCTGAGCCAAATTCTCAGCTTTACGCCTCAAGTCTGCTTTGACCAGCAATAAATTCTTCTGCAAGTCCACCAGGATCTGGTCCTAAGAGTCAGTGAAGAGTATTAGCCAAACCCAAGCCGTGAAAGAGCCCACAAACTGAACATGCGCCCACAGAAACCACTGCAGATACCAATTAATGACCCAATACTATAAGGCTCACTGTGCATTAATATTGTTAGTATAAGAGGAAAGGGGAGAAGAATAGTTAAATTGCAGAAAGAAATCAACAGCTTTAGGTTTTTCTTGTGTGCCATGAGATTTTTTAATGTGCTCATCTGAATAAACTTCTGTACAAATCGGATGAAAAAGGCAGAACTATTATCAAGTGAATGTTGATCACATTTTAACAACAATGTTACCTTTAACTTTGGACACTGTACTGGTAACTAAAGAGTACCATTAACATGTGGATCAGGACATTAGCTCAAGTCCAAAGTTTGATTTATTTGTTTAGATTTTATTAATATTTGTTTGGTTTCTGCCCTTTTTAATAAATTGAATAAAAATAGTGGACCGGAAGTCAACATTAACACATTTTTACTAAAAAACGTATAAAGGTCTTAACTGTATTCATACCTGTTTGGCCAGTGTCTCGTCAGCAGTGGTTAAGGCTTGCCGCAGACGCTCTCCTCCAGTGTTACGACAACACGCCCTTTCCCCAGACTGCAGGTCCAGCCCAAGTCGATGCAAGTCCTGACGCAGCTGCCGTAGGTTCTAATTATGAAAGTAATACAAATCATTATTTTAGACAAAGAAATAACTGAGAAAAAAGGGTAACTTACTCGTTGACCCTCCTCCAGTTTTCGATCAGCAGCATTTGTCAGTGCACCTGCAGATCCAGGGATTTCCATTTGGGCCTTCAGTTTGATCAGCTCTGCACATGATTAGAAATAAGATTAAATACCTACAGCAAGTGATACACCCTCTCAATCATCATACCTTGTGTCTTGGTCAGCAGCTCAGCTCGGCACTGGTCCAGCTCGCAGCGTAACCGGCTCACCTCTGAGCTAACTGTGAGTCTCTGCGATCTACGTGGCTCCTCAGAAAATAAGTTTGTTATATTTGTCGACTGAGGCTTTTGTTTTTCTAACGCAGCAGATAAAGCTTCTATCTCTTGGTCTCGTTCCTGGTCAAAACAAATTAATGTTCAATGTCCCAGAACAGTTGAGTTTTAACGCCATCATATAGTATTCAACTCTACCTTCAGCTCCTGGCTGTAGAAACGTTTCAAATGTTTCTGTAGATTGTCAATCTTCTCCTCGTATCTCTCTTCCAGTAGAGCTCGTTCAGTCTCCAGACTCTCACTAGAAAGGAGGAGATAACATTCAGTTTTAATGACTTATATAGCGTTACTTCTTCCAATGTTTCGGATTCATTTATTTGCCATTTGCAGTAAAACCACATTGGAAAAACTGTGCAAGACTACCCCAGTGTGCACCAGACGACACACACCAGAGCCCGTGCCATGTTTGTAATGTAACTGACCTGAAACCTTCCTGCATCCCATTGATGACCTCCATCATTTCAGAGACCACTTCTTCTCGCACATTTGCCTCCAGGACTTCTTTCTCTGTCCACTGTCGTTGCACCTCTTTTTTCAGAACGTCAATTGCCTGCAGCAGGGCCTAAATCAACAAGTCAGAATGATTCTCACAAGCCTTAAATCAACATTTAATCTAGCAAACTGTGACAATTTACTTCTGTATTTAACATAGTGATGTCCCCATCTTCCACATCACTGTCCTCTTCATCTTCTTCGATTACAGTACTGTCGTTTTTGCCTGCCGCAGGATCACGCAACAGAGACAGGATATAGGCCACTCTGTTCTTGGTTGATGGGCCATGCACCAGCTAAGAATAGAGTGGGAAGCTTTAGCCGCGGTGTGCAAAATAATGAAAAAAAGTCAATGTTTAATAATTACTTGAGTCGCTATTGCCGAGAACTTTAGAGCTTGTAGGGTTTCGTCGTAGATTGAGGCACAGGGGTTGATGTTGACCACCATGCTGGAAATTCCTTTACCACAAAAGAATCCTTGCAGCACACGAGTCAGTTTACTGTCACGAAAAGGCACAACCTGTGGGGGGCGGGACCTTTTAAACACAGGAGAGGGTGAGAATTTCTTTACACAAAAAGCAAATAACCAAATCAATGTACACGTACTTATTGTTCTGGTTGTGTCGCAACGCAGAAATGCATCGCCCCAATGTCAGCAGCGACGTGTTGATGTTGTTGGCCTCTTTCATCCTTTCTCCATTGCGCTGCTCTTTGCATCGTTCAGACCCAGCCAAGTCACATATGGTCAATCTGCAGCATGAACCAAACGGACGTTAGAAAGCACAGAGGGAGAGGGAAGGAAAACCAAATAAAACTTAAAGAGACTGAAGACTGACTCGCTGATACGCATAGCTTGGGCTGAAACCATCTCTGGGTGAACGTGCAGGATGCGGATGGAAACGATGCTGTGACTGTGGTTGACAAATATTGGTAAATAGTCAAGTCACAGAATATGTTATTTTAAAGGGTTGGAGAAAAAAATATACCTGCGGCTTGAATTATGATTGAGATGAGTACTAGCAAAACTTTGGTTACGACGACCAACTCTGACAACCTGCCATGCCTCCTCAGCACTACGAACTTGAACCCATGTCAAGTCTACAGATGAAATCACAGAGGGAAGACAAGACAAGTTTCATCTTGGAAGCAACAAACCACATTTTCTAAACTGGGAGTGTAATCGGGTTATGATGTATGTAATCTTACCTTTCACGTATGGATTGCCCTGCTTGTCATCACCTAGTCTGAGTGTAACCCTCTTTTTGGGCTGCATTGAGGGTGAAGAATCCAGTAAGTCATACAGGAACTCATTGTAGATCTCATAATAGGACACCCAGACGGAAAACTGCACCCCATCCTCGAGGTCATCCTCCCCACTGTTGGACAGGCTGTCTGGCTCCAGACACACACTGTCAGCATCTAAAGAAAGGTCAGGATTGTTATACTTTATATGATACATGTGTGATAGTTGTATAATAAGGCTGATTTACTGACCTTCCAGCTGAGTGACCATGTTACTTAAGGATGAGAGTCCTCCAATTCCACTATCCCAAACAGTGGTGGTCCCAACGCGTCGGGACATTGGACTATCATCCTGTTAAGATGAAATACATCAACTAATGCTTACAAAAACTATATTGCTGTCATTTATGTTGAAAACACTCATAATATATATATATATATATATATATATTATATGTTATACATGCAATCATTCACTTAAGAACAGTTTACCTTAAGCAGCGAGTCTCTACGACTTTCCTCCACTTTCACCTCAGATTGGTCTAGTCGTTTTATATCTTGGTACATGACAGGCTTCAGATCCAAGCCGCTGTACAGTTGGCCCTGCAACTTCATAAACATGGAGGCCAAAGCTCGTGGCAAAAGACCGGCTTCTCTACCACTTCCTGCACAGCATAAACCATAGGTCAACATTACATATTTATCTTGTCAAATGATTAATGACACTGGGATAATGTGAAGCCATACACACCCTGAATAGTGTAGGTTTTCCCAGAGTTGGAAACTCCATATGTAAACAACAGTCGGTTCTCCCCTTGAAGCACATCCTTCACCATTGTTTTTAGAGTCTGCTCATAAAATTGCTGCTGAGTGGTTTCTTGTCTAAAAATCTTTTTAGAAATATATACAGAAAATAAGAATATGGTTAAAACAACGTGATATACAGTGCCTTGCGAAAGTATTCGGCTCCCTTGAACCTTTCAACATTTCGCCACATTTCAGGCTTCAAACATAAAGATATAAAATTTAAATTTTTTGTCATTAATCAACAACAATTGGGACACAATCGTGAAGTGGAACGAAATTTATTGGATAATTTAAACTTTAACAAATAAAAAACTGAAGTGGGGCGTGCAATATTATTCGGCCCCTTTACTTTCAGTGCAGCAAACTCACTCCAGAAGTTCAGTGAGGATCTTTGAATGATCCAATGTTGTCCTAAATGACTGATGATGATAAATAGAATGCACCTGTGTGTAATCAAGTCTCTGTATAAATGCACCTGCTCTTTGATAGTCTCAGGGTTCTGTTTAAAGCGCAGAGAGAACCATGAAGACAAAGGAACACACCAGGCAGGTCCGAGATACTGTTGGAGAAGTTTAAAGCCGGATTTGGATAGAGGACAATCTTGAGGTCATGAATCCAGTGAAATTAGTCGCACACCTTTTTACAGTAAAAAGTTACAGTAGATCAAAAGTGACATGTTTTGACTATTTTGGAGGTATTTTGGACCAAAATGGCTACTTTACCTCAATATTTCTCAATATTTCTACAGTAAAAGTTTCTGGTCTTTGGTACAGTGGCAGAGGGCAATAATAAGGTCATGAGTCAAGTGAAATTAGTCGCACACCTTATTCCAGTAAATAGTTACAATACTTGAAAATTGCACTAGCGGACCAAATTGTGTACTTTATACATGTAAACAATAGAGTGGCTATCCTCCTGAGGACTCACAATCTGCCGGAGGAATCGTAGGGGGCTGGTGCTATGTGTGCCGGGTGGCATCTCTATAAGGTTTTAATCACAAAAACGTGTCTCCCTGACCCCAGCGCGCTTTCTGTTCGATAAAAATGGGTGACTCCGAAAGGACGTTCCGCTGTTACCGTAAGTTCTCAACAAAACGCGCACCGTCTTTTCCCCGATGCTGGCCGCATGTTCATAGAGCTGAAAGATGCGGGCCACTTTACCGCGGTAAATTAATAGACACAGCTGCTTACAGCGATGATCGCTGATGGAGACGGAGACACGCGGTGTGCACGAAGGGGAGGGGCTGTGTGTGTGTAGGTCTCTGTATGTGGGAGAGACGCGTAGCTTGAGTGAGAGTTACGAAGGGCCGCCACATTTTAAACCCCCCTCCCCGCTGTCAAATTGACCGCTGCGGCGGCACTAGACGATGCATGTTTTAAATAGCGTAACAAAAAAAATATATATATAATAATCCATCCATCCATCCATCCATTTTCTTCCGCTTTATCCGTTGCCGGGTCGCGGGGGCAGCAGTCTAAGCAGAGACGCCCAGACTTCCCTATCCACACACACCTCCTCAAGCTCGTCCGGGGGGACCCCTAGGCGTTCCCAGGCCAGCTGAGAGACATAGTCTCTCTCCAGCGTGTCCTGGGTCTTCCCCGGGGCCTCCTCCCGGTGGGACGTGCCCGGAACACCTCCCCAGGAAGGCGTCCAGGAGGCATCCTGAAAGATGCCCGAGCCACCTCAACTGGTTCCTCTCGACGTGGAGAAGCAGCGGCTCTACTCCGAGCTCCTCCCGTGTGACCGAGCTCCTCACCCTATCTCTAAGGGAGCGCCCAGCCACTCTGCGGAGGAAGCTCATTTCGACCGCTTGTATCCGCGATCTCGTTCTTTCGGTCATTACCCACAGCTCATGACCATAGGTGAGGGAGGGAACGAAGATTGACCGGTAAATTGAGAGCTTTGCCTTTCGGCTCAGCTCCCTCTTTACCACAACGGTCCGATACAGAGACCGCATCACTGCGCACGCTGCACCGATCCGCCTGTCAATCTCACGCTCCATCCTCCCCTCACTCGTGAACAAGACCCCGAGATACTTGAACTCCTCCACTTGAGGAAGGACCTCTCCACCCACCTGGAGAGGGCAAGGCACCTTTTTCCGGTCGAGCACCATGGCCTCGGATTTGGAGGTGCTGATTCTCATCCCAGCCGCTTCACACTCGGCTGCAAACCGTCCCAGTGCATGTTGCAGGTCCTGGTTCGTTGGAGCCAGCAGGACGACATCATCCGCAAAAAGTAGAGATGAAATCCTGTGGTTCCCGAACCGGACCCCCTCCGGCCCCTGGCTGCGCCTAGAGATTCTGTCCATAAATACAGTGAACAGAACCGGTGACAAAGGGCAGCCTTGGCGGAGGCCAACATGCACCGGGAACAGGTCTGACTTACTGCCAGCAATGCGAACACAGCTCTGGCTCCGGTCATACAGGGACCGAACAGCCCTCAGCAGAGGACCCCGGACCCCGTTTTCCCGGAGGACCCCCCAAAGGACACCCCGGGGAACGCGGTCGAACGCCTTCTCCAAATCCACAAAGCACATGTGGACAGGTTGGGCGAACTCCCATGAACCCTCGAGTATCCGATGGAGAGTATAGAGCTGGTCCAGTGTTCCGCGACCGGGACGAAAACCACACTGCTCCTCCTGAATCCGAGATTCGACCATCGGACGAAGCCTCCTCTCCAGTACCTTGGAGTAGACCTTACCGGGGAGGCTGAGGAGTGTGATATATAATAATACGAAACGCAATTTGTGGCGGGCGGTCTCTAATCTGTGGCGGTGCGCCACAGATTAGTCTATGTGTGGGAAACACTGAAATCTACCAAGACCCGGCCGTCCCTCCAAACTTTCATCTCAAACAAGGAGAAGACTGATCAGAGATGCAGCCAAGAGGCCCATGATCACTCTGGGTGAACTGCAGATAACTACAGCTGAGGTGGGAGAGTCTGTCAATAGGACAACAATCAGTCGTGCACTGCACAAATCTGGCCTTTATGGAAGAGTGCCATTTCTCTAAGATATCCATAAAAAGTCTTGTTTAAAGTTTCTCAGCTCTGGTCAGATGAAACCGAAATCAAACTTTTTGGCCACAATGCAAAACGATATGTTTGGCGTAAAAGCAACACAGCTCGTCACCCTGAACACACCATCCCCACTGTCAAACATGGTGGTGGCAGCATCATGGTTTGGGCCTGCTTTTCTTCAGCAGGGACAGGGAAGATGGCTAAAAGTGATGGGAAGATGGATGGAGCCAAATACAGGACCGTTCTGGAAGAAAACCTGTTGGAGTCTGCAAAGGACCTGAGACTGGGACGGAGATTTATCTTCCAACAGGACAATGATCCAAAACATAAAGCCAAATCTACAATGGAATGGTTCACAAATAGACGTATCCAGGTGTTAGAATGACCAAGTCAAAGTCCAGACCTGAATCCAATCGAGAATCTGTGGAAAGAGCTGAAGACTGCTGTTCACAAACGCTCTCCATCCAACCTCACTGAGCTCGAGCTGTTTTGCAACGAAGAATGGGCAAGAATTCCAGTCTCTCGATGTGCAAAACAGATAGACATACCCCAAGCGACTTGCAGCTGTAATTGCAGCAAAAGGTTGCGCTACAAAGTATTAGCGCAAAGGGGCCGAATAATATTGCACGCCCCACTTCAGTTTTTTATTTGTTAAAAAAATTTATATTATCCAATCAATTTCGTTCCACTTCACGATTGTGTCCCACTTGTTGTTGAATCTTGACAAAAATTGTAATTTTTATATCTTTATGTTTGAAGCCTGAAATGTGGCGAAATGTTGAAAGGTTCAAGGGGGCCGAATACTTTCGCAAGGCACTGTAAATAACTTAAATATGGAATTTTACCTTTGAAAAGCTGAACTTGTGCATGCTCTGAGTAATGCCTCGTTCTGCGTTTCTCATGGTCTGGGAATCTCTTGGAGCTTTGAGGAGAAGAGACTTTTCATCCTGAACAAGGACACAGCCCTAAAAGAGGACACATTAGCCAAATTTAAATATTCAGGTGCATCGATCCTTTAGAGCAACTTTGACAAGTAAGGGTATTAACACACTATTCTTAAGGAGCAGACCATAGCTGTCATTCCAAAGACTTACTTGTTCTTCCCCACGGTCTTTCTCCATTTCAGTTAGAGGTCTGATGCGCAGAAAGACCTTCACTTTCTCAGGATTCCCTTGCTCGTGAATGCCTGGTTTCACGAATGACTGCTTCATGGTCTGTAACTGTAAGAATAAGAATGTTAACACAGCTCATACAAAACAGGTTCTCAAACAATTAGGCGTAACTCACAGGGCCAATGGTGGAAGGCCGACTGTCGAGCCCTGGAGAAATCACAGAAAGTTCTGGTAGACGAGGTCTGCCTGGGCCCCCATACTCTGCAGCAGTGGACTCAAAAACAGCCATCTCATCGTCTTCATCAGAGCGAAAACCCGGAGACAGCATCATCTTTAGCTGGAGGAGGAAACGGTCTCATACTTAACAATCACGCTCTGAAACTTTGAAAGTATTGCCAGCCAGGTTAGTCTGTAGCCATAGGATCCCAGATGGAAATAAGCCAGGGGCCATGACTGAATCTGGCATCGTGGAAACAGAAACGAATGTGCACGTTCCGAAAATAAAGTACCCAGAATACGTATATATGGCTACAAAAAATTACCAAAGTATCTTCATGAACTTAAACATCAGACTCGCTGTTAGGGTATCTACGTGTAATAACATTTTAAGATAGAAAAACGATTTTTACATTTGCACATGTCCAGCAAACAGAGTTGGCTAATGTTAATGTTAGTTCCATGTATTCAGCGACAGCTAGCTTAGCACACATTCTATAAGCTAAACACTCACAAAGCCGGATCTGTAAATCCATCAAACGATCAAAAGGCATTTGTATCAGTCATGGAACTGTTGACCTGGATAAACATGGACTTTCATACTCTCAATAGAAAATTAGCCCCCATTGACCTTTCTTAAGTTTCTCAAGACCTTTCGTTAAGTTGCCTAAATTGAAACGCGGTAGAATTTGACTTACCAAGTCTGCTGGATGTGTGATTCCCCGATGGAATAAAAGGTGTAGCAGTGAGTAAAATAAAAAATCCCGTTTCTATTTCACCACCTATTACATACTAATGTATCGCACGCTTCTGTCGCTGCACAAACAGCTGAGTTCGGTTGTTTTTCTGACTAGACTGGTTTTTTGAACAACGCTGCTCCCTCCCACAGTCACCGTTGATTGGCTCACACAGCGCAGGCTCTGTGCTCTAATTGGCTGTTTTGTGTCCATCAAAATCTATTCCCCTCAAACAAAGAGTTCATTTAAAAGTTCCGGATACCCTCGCCATGTGCTGGTGCTGTTTGAGCTGGCAGAGTGACTGTTGTTTCTAAAAACGCTGTTCTAAAGATGAAATCAGATGCCAAAATACATGCATGAGTGACAGGACCAAACTGTTTTAAAGCCAGGAACCACATGGATTGATAAATAGAAAAAATAGTTTCATTTGTCGATATACACTTTTTATTTTACAGGTGAGGAGCATGGATCTGTCAGAGCTCAGCCCAGCATACTGGAGCTGCCATCACTGCAGAGACAGACTGCAGTGAACCTCTAGTCTCCTCAAGACTAGAGGGCAGAGCTCTGGGACATTTTAGGAACAAAGACAGATTTTGATCTCTACAGCTAACTGCAGTCTGATTACATTTCTGCATCTATGTGTAAATGCAGCTGTGATGGAAGTAAACGGGATCTTAAAAAAACATTGGTGGGCAGTGCCATAGACCTATAATAGGCAGATGACTATTAAAAATACCACAACACAACCCTTATTTCAAAGTAGACTTGAAATTAAAATGATAAATTATTAACTGATCCATTTTTTATATATTGTAATTCAGAACAATTCTTGAAAAAACACTACTTAATTGTGATGCATTCCTCCAACAAGAACTTCAAAAAGGAAATAGTGGAAAAAATATTACTCCATGCTTGTTGGTGCATTATTTGCAGTAATGTTATGAAGGGTTATTTCATCACGTGATCTTTCAAGTCGTTGTTTCTGGACACTGTGCTGAACACCATAGCTGAAATAGATGATTAAACCTGTCAAAACAATGAATTAAAGGCTCTGTTACAATGGTATATATTTTATAGGGAGTAAATATGTATAGATCACTACAGACCTATGGTCATCCACACTGCATATCGGATCCATGTGTCCGCCCCAAGCTGGACCATTAGGTAGACATTTACCAAGGTACTCAATATAGGTAAAAAAGGGACAAATGGAACCTGCACATAAAAAAGAAATTTGTCACAACACAATTGAATGTATGCTTAAATCTAGACCATAACATGAAATCTTGACCTTACAGAAACATACAAATGCCTCAACAAACCATATATCTGCATGAGGTATCCCATCTTATAAAGACTTTTGAAACACAAAGAAGGCATACCATAAATGCAGCCTTGGTCTGGCTCTGGGGCTGCCTCCAAATGATGAGGATGATACCAAAAAGCATCAAAAGATTTACAGAGACACATAGTAGAATCCACCACTGGCGTGCTTGCAGGGCCTCAATACCACCAGATACAAAGAGGCTTAGACTGATCACTAAACAAACTGAAAAATCCCACAAGGTATTGAAGTCAAAAGCTTTTAATACAGTTTTAATACAACTGAGTGAGATACATCTTGAAGACTTACTGATAAAAACAGCACACACTGACACATTTTTAGAAGACCTTTCAGTGGGTTGCATAGGAGGACATAGCAGCCCATGTACTGTCAATGGCTCGGGTTTGCTTGGAGCTGAATCATCACTATTATCTGGTTGGTATCTGTAAAAGAGAGATGAACAATCCACAGTTGCAAACAATTTGTCTTGAGGGATATGCAGCAGACACACATATTACCTATACACAAAGGATGATAATTACCTGAGTTTGAGGATGCAAACTGCCACAAGGGTGTAAGCAAAGAGAGTCCCAATTGACATCATATCAACCAAAGCCTTTAGGTCGAACAGCAATGCCATGATAGCTGCAATGATACCACAGCAGATGTGAACATGTTGGAAAAGTCAGAAAGAAGTAAATTTGTAATTTGTAAATTTGTAAATTTGTAGAAGTAAATTGATTTGTTTAAAAGGAAGAGATGTGTGTTACCTGCCACAATCCCTGAAGCCAATGTTGCAATAACTGGGCTTTGTCTGTCACTCATTTTACTCAAAGGCTTGAAAAGAAGTCCATCCCTGGCCATTGCAAAAAGCACTCGAGGCATTGGAAACATAGACCCCAATAGGCTGTTGGGCAGAGGTGGGTATATTTATGTCAATACATTAACCCTTTGATTTCTTATAGTACTATTTTAAAAAAACATTACCACATTCATGCGTTATACTTATTCTATTAATATAATAAAGTAATGGTATTCTTTACATTTCTGGTTACTCATTGCTGCTGTTAAGAAAGAGGGACCTCAGTTTTTTCAGCTATTCAAATTTCTGGTTTTATACATGTGTACCTTGTTGAGAGGGCACAGAGAGACCCCACTGCCACAGCATATTTAGCAGGACCCCAGCCGATGAACGTGAAGGCAACAGGCAGAGGGCTGTCAACGCTCAGTAAGAAGTATGGCATCATCAGCGTAAGGGCAGCAGAGACTCCAAAATATGCCAAGAAGCAAATAAGTAAAGAGGCCACAATGCCTAATGGAATGGACTTCTGAGGATTCTGCACCTCTTCCCCTAAAAATGTAAAATGATTATGTTATGTTGTCATATTTAAAATGTGTGTGGAATTGTGTATAATGGTAAGTACCTGTTGTTGCAATGCAGTCAAACCCCACAAATGCATAAAAACAAGTGGCTGCTCCTGCTAAAGTCCCTTCTAATCCAAAAGGAAAAAAGCCTCCAGAACCGTAGTTGATAGTTACATTAAAAGATATGTTTGTTCTGTGAATAAATAAATACAAAATAATACAAAAGGTTAATACAAAAACCTATGCTTCATAAAGTGCAATAGCAGTACATACCTGTATTCATTCAGGACCTCTTCCTCAATGTACCAGTTATTAATATTGCCTTTTATGAACGAAGAAAAAATGACAAACAACAGCACCAGGACATTCACAGCTGTAAAAATCTTATTCACAATGGCAGACTCCTTGACACCAAATGCAAGGATCCCTATTGAGAAAACATTATATACTGTATAATTGCATTTTTATACAATTTATTCAAATACAAAACAGTGTTTTACCAGCCAGAATCATAATGAGGGCTGCTGCAAAGAAGTCTGGGTAAGGCGCTAATCCTGGTAAGTTCATTGGAGCTTGTTTCCCCAGAGTATTAGCAATTACTTTTCCAATTAGGTCATCAAACGTCCCACTCCAAGCTCTGGCCACGCTGGATGTCCCTGAACATGAATATAAATAGTCAATATAAAACACATTCAGGATTGTCTAAGTGTGCTTTACCGATGACATAAGACAAGAGGAGATTCCAGCCTGTTATGAAAGCCCATATTTCGCCCACTGTCACGTAGCTGTAGAGATATGCAGACCCGGTCTTGGGAACTCGTGCCCCAAATTCAGCATAGCAAAGTCCGGCAAATACAGACGCTATGGCTGCGATGAGGAAAGAGATGATGATGCTTGGACCAGCCACAGTACGAGCCACCTCTCCGGACAGGACGTACACCCCAGCCCCCAAAGTGCTACCCACCCCGAGGGCCACCAGGTCCAGAGTGGTCAAACAGCGCTTAAAATTGGACACCTCTCCTTCAGGGTCCAACGGTTTTCTACGAGACAGGTTTTGGAGGAACGATAACACTTTAACGCCAGCCATCCTGCACAAAAAGACAGAATTTGATGAGTTTTTTGAAGGTTGACATATTTACATAATTTGATGCTTGAGTTATAATTGTAACACCTCAATTATAAAATAAAACTAGATAAAGAAATGTATTATTGTGTGGTCATAATGTAGATAAATCTAATTGTTTTAGCAACATTTTTGTAATGCTCCTCCACAGAACAAGTTATGCCATCATTTACGGATTGTAAATGATGGCATAACTTGTGACTGTATGTTTTGTGCCATATGACTACAAGCATTTGACAAACCATTTTCAAGTTATGCATTCAAGTGAGGCATAATGAACCTCAATCAAAATATTTGAAAGCAACATATTGAAAGAAGGCCAATATTTTCAGATTTTACACCTAAAATGAATGGCAGTCTCAGAAAACACATGAATGCCCTAACCCTAACCAATTTTAAAGATTTGTATGAAGTGATATAAATTTGTATACCGACAAAAATCAAAAGAAATTGATGAGTTGAGACCTTACCTATTGAACGACGTGATGCTCTCGTTCCTTCGTCAAACCTTTCTCTTGGTAAGAGCACATCCATTTGCTCTGAAGACAACTCAGCCCAACATTTTTTACACATTATGTTACATTTTGGAGGTGTGTGCTAGTTTTGAAAAAAGCAAAGATTTGGATGATTTGTGGTATGAGGTGTTTTGGACACACGTTGAGAGATGTTTTTCCATCTCATTCAACATTTGAGACCATGAATGCACAACGTTACTTTTTATATTACCGTATAAGTTTCTTTCTTGACTTTTCTTTGTGAAATCATTCAGGCAGCACATTTTAAACATCTACCTTTTGACGTGCTAACATTCATGTTTGGAATGGAAAACCTTTATCCAATTCATATTGACCTCGAAGCGTTGGTTCATGTATTTCCTGCAATTATTCTTGACCAAAGCCTTTTCTGAGTATGTGGTCATCCCTCTGCACACTGTAATAATTATGGCTTTAAGAAGGCAACATGTTGTAAACTATAATTGTTATGTCCGGTCTCTTCTGCTCAGCAACTGGACCATGATTCAACAGTGCAGAAGAAGACACATCTCTGTTTGAGGAACATAATTGTGCAATCCACTGCTTCCAGGACTATGTGGCATTCCCTCCACTAAAGAACGACTGGAAGAAAAATTAAATTTGTAATCAATTAAGCACTTTAAATAAAACACCAGTGATAACAAAATATTTAAGTTAAAGTAAAAAAAACCTCAATTGTGGAACCACTTATTTAGTTGAGGCCTTCGCTGGATTAGCAGGGGGAAATGGCCGCCCCCTTTTTGGTTAATAATTGATCCAGAGGTTCAAACCTGGGTGCTCACACCATTGTCCAGTACACTAAGCCCCTGGAATATATTGGAAAAAGACATTACATGAGGCACACCTGGATTTGAGCATAAAAAAAAAAGAGTAAGTTTCTTTTTGTTCATTTTAATTTGAATTGTTAATAGCAAATTGATAAATACATTTACATATACAAGCATTATGTCTTTCTTCTTTTCTTTCTTTTTGCAGTCACTGAAATTGTTGTAAATTACCCTTGTCCAGCGGTGATCCTAGACAAGACATAAAATACACCGTGAGACTTAAAAATAGGAATGCAGAGTAATTTCACACAATAAAAGTAAATGAAATGAAAAAATATATTCCAAAATGTTGATGTAAAATCCTACAAAGAGGAATTATTTGTATGTTTATTTCTTTATTTCTTTCACACTTTCTTTAGACTCGTGCCTACATCATTAGTGCTGTCCAGATTCAGTGCACGGCTGTAGTGGTGTTCACCATGGAGACAGGGTTGACTGGCCGCAGCATGAGACCAGACCTGAGCAGGAAGCAGCCCAATAGACTGTGACTTCACCTGCAACTATTTTTGCTCAGGAACATGGACAACACTAAATCCCTCACTCACACAAACATTGTACATCCATTGTACCAGTGAGTTAGAAAGAAAACAACCTGCAAAGATGAGATTAATAGTGTATTATTTGACATTGCTCAGTTCCAGCTGTGTCATTTCAACTTACGGGCCACATCAAAGAGCTCAAATGACAGGAGACATTCTCCTCGGTGGACTATTTCCAATACATTTTGGGGTCACATCCAAAGACCAAGACTTAGCAGCCCGTCCCCAGTCCACACAATGTGTCAGGTAACATTTAACTTCCATCAAAGAAGAGCCAGCAACATTAATTTCATAACTGATTGTTGTCACAGATTCAATTTCCGTGGTTTTCGATGGCTCCAGGCAATGATATTTGCCATTGAGGAGATAAACGACAGCAGCAGCCTGCTGCCTAACATCACACTGGGATACAGAATCTTTGACACGTGCAACACAGTGTCTAAAGCTCTGGAAGCCACTTTGAGTTTTGTAGCTCAGAATAAGATCGACTCTTTGAATCTAGATGAATTCTGTAACTGCACAGACCACATACCGTCGACCATTGCCGTTGTGGGAGCCGCAGGGTCCGCTGTTTCCACTGCAGTAGCCAACCTTCTGGGCCTGTTTTACATTCCTCAGGTGAGACACTGAAGAGTTAAAACATTAACATACTGTTATTAATAGCACTTTTCCAATAGGTCTTTTTGTGAACATACGTAGCTGCCCAGTTACATGTCCATATGTATTAGCTTCATAATATGAATAGGTATAATTCTAATAACCATTGCAATCAGGCATATCACGTTTGTCCTTTTTATCTACTGTGTTATAGATAAGCTATGCCTCCTCCAGTCGTTTGCTGAGTAACAAAAAACAGTACAAGTCATTCATGCGGACCATCCCCAATGACGAGTACCAGGCCACAGCAATGGCTGACATCATTGAGCACTTTGAGTGGAACTGGGTCATTGCTGTGGCATCAGACGATGACTACGGACGCCCAGGTATTGAGAAGTTTGAAAAGGAGATGGAAGAGCGGGACATCTGCATACACCTGAATGAACTCATCTCCCAGTATTTTGAGGAGCATGAAATCAAGGCTCTGGCAGACAGGATAGAAAACTCCACTGCTAAAGTGATTGTTGTGTTTGCCAGTGGACCAGATATAGAACCGTTAATCAAAGAAATGGCATGCAGGAACATTACAGACCGAGTATGGCTTGCCAGTGAGGCATGGGCAAGTTCATCTCTTATTGCTAAGCAGGAATATCTAAATGTTGTAGCAGGAACTATTGGATTTGTCCTGAAGGCTGGGGCAATTCCAGGTTTTAAAAACTTCTTGCAACAAGTGCAGCCAAAGAAAGATAGCCACAATGAGTTTGTGAGGGAGTTTTGGGAGGAGACTTTTAACTGTGACTTGGAGGACAGTTCCAGATTACAGGAGACTGAGAATGACAGCAGCAGCTTTAGGCCTCTCTGCACTGGAGAGGAGGACGTTACAAATGTGGGGACACCATACCTGGACTTCAGTCACCTCCGCATCTCTTACAATGTTTATGTGGCAGTCTACTCCATAGCACAGGCCTTGCATAACATTCTCACTTGCACGCCTGGACATGGGCTTTTTGCCAATAATTCATGTGCAGATATCAAGACAATTGAGGCATGGCAGGTATGACAACTAATTCATAAATGATCATGAAGTGACAGAACTTCAGGGCTATGAGACAAATAAGTAAATGTTCTTTCCTATTACCAGGTTCTGAAACAACTGAGACACTTGAACTACATCAACAGTGCTGGAGACAAAGTGCACTTTGGTGAAAACACAGACTTTGTGGCAAACTACACCATTGTGAACTGGCAGCGGTCAGCTGAAGACTCAGTCATGTTTGAGGAGGTGGGCTTTTACAATGTGCACGGCAGAAAAGGAGCCAAATTGTTCATCAACAAGACAAATATCTTGTGGAACGGACACATATCTGAGGTTAGTCATAATAGATTCAAGAACCAAAAATAAACATATATTAATTCTGTCTGTATTCTGTGTGTAGCAGGTGCCGTTCTCAAACTGCAGTGAGGACTGTGAACCTGGCACGAGGAAGGGCATCATTGACAGTATGCCCACATGCTGCTTTGAATGCACTGAATGTTCAGATGGAGAGTACAGCAATCAGAGAGGTAGGAAATAATTCAGCTTCTACAATTTACAGACTTAAAATACATTTTAAAAATGATTGAAATTAATGTCTTTTCACAGATGCCAGTGTTTGCACAAAGTGCCCCAATAACTCTTGGTCTACTGGTAACCACACCTTCTGTTTTTTGAAGGAAATTGAATTCTTATCCTGGACTGAACCTTTTGGAATAGCCTTGACTATCTGTGCAGTTTTAGGTGTTGCCCTGACAACCTTTGTCATGGGAGTTTTTGTAAAATACAGAAATACTCCTATAGTGAAGGCGACCAACCGAGAGCTGTCATATGTGCTGCTCTTCTCGCTCATCTGCTGCTTCTCCAGCAGCCTCGTCTTCATCGGGGAGCCTCAGGACTGGACCTGCCGCGTCCGCCAACCTGCTTTTGGCATCAGTTTTGTTTTGTGCATCTCCTGCATTCTGGTCAAAACCAACAGAGTGCTTCTAGTATTTGAAGCAAAGATCCCCACAAGCCTCCATAGAAAATGGTGGGGGCTAAACCTGCAGTTTCTGTTGGTCTTTCTCTTCACCTTTGTCCAGGTGATGATCTGTGTGGTGTGGTTGTACAATGCACCTCCATCCAGCTACAGAAACTATGACATTGATGAGATTATTTTCATCACTTGTAATGAAGGCTCCATGATGGCTTTGGGCTTTCTCATCGGTTACACCTGTTTCTTGGCTGCTATCTGTTTCTTTTTTGCATTCAAGTCACGCAAACTTCCTGAAAACTTTACAGAGGCCAAGTTCATCACGTTTAGCATGCTGATATTCTTTATAGTGTGGATCTCCTTCATCCCAGCCTACTTCAGCACTTATGGCAAATTTGTGTCTGCGGTGGAAGTCATTGCTATTCTGGCATCCAGCTTTGGGCTGCTGGCCTGTATTTTCTTCACTAAAGTCTATATAATTCTCTTCAAACCCTCCAGAAACACCATTGAAGAGGTCAGATGCAGGACCGCAGCCCACGCCTTCAAAGTGGCCGCAAAAGCAACTCTAAAACATGGAGCTGTTTCTAGAAAGAAGTCAAACAGCATTGGAGGGTCGTCCACCCCATCTCCGTCTTCCACCATCAGTCTCAGGACCAACGGGCATGACAGTGATCCCAGCTCCAGGCCCCGGGTGAGCTTAGGCAGTGGGACGGTCACTCTGTCTCTGAGCTTAGAAGAGTCACGCAGGAGCTCTGTTATGTAAACACAATTATATGTTTAGATGTCTCTTTAGTTGTTGTATACTACTGTGGGTTTCATATTCAAAGCATGTAGTTCTCAAATATAAAAAAAAATGATATTATTATATAACTATAAGAGGTGAACAATATTTTACAGTGTGCATAAAAAGGGCTGATGGCAAAAGCTGAAAAAAAAACATCCACCCTCGTAACATAAAACAGAACACTGATTATCAGAACATTATAAATGTATAATTAAACAATGCCTTTTTTAAATACTATACAATAAATGCATTGTTTTTTGTAAATGAAAATCGCCCTGTGTCAGCTGCATGTGAAGTTTTAGAGAATGTTATGTGCTTACCTATCACAAGTTTCTGACATCTGCAAATACAGTGGGCAGATCTCACATGCTAACTCAAACTCCACTGTAGGCATAGGGTACAACCTCTCCATTTTAACTTTGCAGTGTTTTTAGCTTTATGGTGTGTGTATTTTATCCTCAGCTGTTTTAAACAAGTGATAAGAAACAGTTTTAGTTTGAATTCCTAGTCTACATATTCTGAAATAATATTCAGTCAGCTTTCATATAGCTGCTTGTCATATCTTGCATATCTCTTGGTTTGATGATTATGAATGAGTAATCATATTTGTGTTTGGTTTTACATTTGTGTCATCTGTACCCACAACAGCAACTGTTGCACAACTGTACAACAGCTGTACACCAAATTATAATGGTTTGTTGACAACTAATAACATCCACATTCATCCATATTAGTTAATATTCTTTAAAATATAGGGGCCAGAAGCCGGCCCCACAGACTCCCATCGGCTGAAATGAGTTGAACTTGTAAGGCCACAGTCTGAGGAGCAGCTGAAACATCTGAGACTGCACCGCACACAGCATGAGACCAAACACTGAGCTCTGGCCAAATGAACCTCTGCCCCTTTGGAACATATAGGTTCAGAAACATTCAACCTAAGTGTGCTGCTAAGAACGTTATACATGCTTACATACATGCTTACACTATACACATGTTTGAGTAATGTATGTACCAACAGACAGTGGTCTATAAACCTGATAATTCTGCCAAAGGGCAACTGTAGCGAGTGACCACTAAAGTAAATTAATTATCATCAGAGCTTTATGAAACTCTTTAAACTATCTTATTAAAGCAAATACATATTTTTGGTTTGGAGTGCTCCTTTAATTCCTACTATTCTGGAATGTTTTCTTAAAAAATGACCTTACTTTTATATTATTTTAACATGTTTAGAAGAATTTGAGTTAAACAGGCTGGAGGGGATGAAACTGAAATTGAACACTAATATTAGTACTACACATATCATATTCACAAAAGGGAATGAACATAGATCCACTGTACAGGGTACAGTAATGAAAAGGGGCAAGAATAACACACATCGCTGCCCCTAATATTTACAGTCTGTAACACGACACAACTACTCTTATTGTGAAAGGTCCCGTTAGACCGGAAGTGTGTCTGTGATATGGAACTGCTGTTCGAGGTAAGAAAACACTAACGCAGAGCATAAGATCATCATTAACACTAGGATTTATGCATGAGCAGCAGCGATACTTTTAATGCGGACAATATAAACCTAAACAGCATCTTGGTAAAAGTTGTATTTGTAGTGATGTTAGCTTTGAGCTAATACACACGTCTGGATCTCTGCTTCAGGTGAACACTGTTTACACTGCTTACTAAGGGGTAATGCTCAACTCTTTTTTATGACCACGAAATTAATTTACCATTATCTTGTTTTTGACACATTCCAGTGTTAGATATGTAGATTCAGAAATATGTTTAATGCCATCATCCTTGTTCAGGCTACTCATTCATGAATCAAACGTGAATCATTCCATTGTATGAGTTAATATGTGTAATCAATAGTTTTATCTAGCTAATTAATTATAATGTGACAGAGTGGCTTCTAGCATGAGCATACTCATGCAATTGTCTGCTTATAGTATAAAGCTAAGTCGTTTTCAATGGAACATGTTTACACTAGAATTTACCTATTTACTTTGTTAGGCAAGGCAAGGCAAGTTTATTTGTATAGCACAATTCATACACAAGGCAACTCAAAGTGCTGAACAAGATAGCATTAAAATCATAAATAATCACAGAACATTAAAACGAAAGATAAAAATATAAAATCCCTCAGTTGTATGCACAGCTAAACAGCACCGTTTTTAACTTGGTTTTAAACATTGTCAGAGAGGAGGCCTGTCTCACATCTTCAGGAAGACTGTTCCAGATTTTAGCAGCATGAATCTGAAAAGCAGCCTCCCCATGTTTAGTTCTGACTCTGGGCACTAACAGGAGTCCAGTCCCTGTGCTCCTCAGAGTCCGGGCTGGTTCATATGGGACTAACATGTCACTAATATATTTTGGTGCGAGGCCATGGAGAGACTTGTACACAAGCAAAGCTGTTTTAAAGTCTATTCTCTGAGCCACAGGAAGCCAGTGCAGAGACCTCAGGACTGGACTAATGTGGTCGTACTTCCTGGTTCTAGTCAGGACTCAGGCTGCTGCATTTTGAATGTACTGCAGCTGTTTTACAGCCTGTTTGGACAGACCTGTGAGCAGGCCATTGCAGTAGTCTAACCTACTGGAGACAAATGCATGGATAAGAATCTCCAAGTCTGCTTTAGACACTATGTTTTTGATCCTGGCAATGTTTTTTAGATGGTAAAAAGCTGCTGATGTTACTGATTTGATGTGGCTATTAAAATTTAAGTCTGAGTCCAGTATTACCCCTAGCTTTCTGACCTTGTTTGAAGGTTTTAGGGAGAGAGACTGTAGATGACAGATGACGCTCTCTCTTTGTTTCTGGGGACCAAAGACAATCATTTCAGTTGTGTCTGCGTTTAGCTGAAGGAAGTTGTTTTGCATCCACTCACTGATCTGTTGGATACAGTGAAGGAGTGAGTCCACTGGTCCATGTTCTCCTGCAGTCAGTGAGACATAGATCTGAGTGTCGTCTGCATAGTTGTGATAGGACACTTAGTTTCTGCGTATTAACTGACCTAACGGCAGCATGTAGAGATTGAACAGAAGAGGTCCCAGGATCGACCCCTGTGGGACTCCACAGGTCAGGGCCATATGATCTGAGACACAGTTTCCAATCTCCACAAAGTACTTCCTGTCTTCAAGGTAAGACCTAAACCAACTTAGGGCGGTGCCAGCGACGCCAACCCAGTCCTCTAGTCTCTGTAAGAGGATCTCATGGTCGACGGTGTCAAAGGCAGCACTCAGATCTAACAGGATTAGGATTGAGACTTTGCCTGCGTCAGTGTTCAGCCGGATATCATTTGTAACCTTGAGGAGAGCAGTCTCAGTGCTTTGGTGGGGTCTAAAGCCGGACTGAAACATATCAAATGAGTTGTTGATTATAAGAAATCTAGTAAGCTGTAGGTAGACAACTTTTTCAAGGACTTTCCCCATAAATGGCAGATTTGAGATGGGACGATAGTTGTTAAGTACCGTAGCATCCAGACTGCTCTTTTTTAGCAGGGGCCTGATGACTGCAGTTTTCAGGGCATTTGGGAATATTCCAGAATTAAGGGACATGTTTACTATCTGTGTGAGTGAAGGTAACAGACTGCATCAGAACAGACTTCAGAAATCTAGTGGGTAGTACATCCAAGCTGCATGTGGAGGAGCTCAAACTGGACTTAGCACTGGTAGGAAACTACAAAGGACAAGGAGAGAAACATGCAAAACTCTGCCAAGAGAAAGGCCCAGTCTGTATTTGGATTAGAACCTTAGAAATGTTTGAAGCAAAAACGCCAATCGATGTAGAAAGTTTTGTACAAAATGAATGAGTAAAATGTGTGTAGTACCCACGTGGAAAATATTCGTAACAGAAAGAATCATAATAAAAATAAATATCTTATTTAGGTGCTGACAATGTAAAAATGGAGTTATGGTTAAGGGTATGTGTAGAGTACATGTGTGGTTGCTATAGCGCAATGACACTCTATTTTAAAGATGTAACAGTATAAAGTTAGAAAAGTATGGCAGTATATATTCATAGATCCGCATGTTGAATGAAGAGGGTCCTATTGGAACCCTGGCTGCCATTTGCGTTTGCAAGGCAATTAACCTGAAACGTCTCATGTTAAATGTCTCATTATTTGGCAGGAAAACAGAGTAAATGTCACTGTTCCATTAAAGCAGTCCTTTTGGGCAGACTCCTGCATCTCAAAGTTGGAGAGCAACGGTCATGAATGGGTATGAGCTCAAAGTTGCCAGAGATAGTCACGGGCCAGAGAATCTACTGTTGATAACACGTTGTATTAGCTGAAGCCTTTGAATTGTAAATCACATACAGTATGTGTTTAAAAGAATATACAATCCAGAAAACCAATATTCAATTCATTTGTTTGAAAATTATGTGGAAAAATAGTGGTCACCTACATAACAAGTAGAGATTTCTGGCTCTCACAACCTGTCACCACTTCTTATGTGGCTCCTCTGTCCTCCACTCGTATTTATGGCACAGTTTGAATTTGTTTTATTCAGTATGAAAGACTATGCCTGTCCAAAACTCATACAGTCACACTCCAAACTCCACTGTGGCCATCAGACCCAGGTTGTGAGTGTAGACCTGCACCAGGCTGGAAGACTGATAAGCTGCAGAGGGATGCGCTGATGATATGTGAAGAAATCAACTGTGGAGCCAGTATTAGAAAATGGAAGAAATACAAGACCACTGATTTATTTTTCTAGTATTGTTTCTTTCTTGTTCTGTGACCTTGCATGGGTTGTGTTGCTTCATGAGCTATCTTTCTTGCATGCGCTTCATCATTTCTCCTGTTTAATCCAGGCTGCAGACGTCTTACACCCAACATTGTTTCATTTGAAGACATTGTCCAAACAAAAGCTGTCACATGCCTTCGTAACTTAAAAAACACCTTGAATTAATGAGCCTCTGAATAGATGCTAGGCTGTGCAATTAAATACCTATGTGCTTTGTTGCCGACCCTTTAGTTGTATTCCCTTCTTTGAAATAGTTAATGATATGAATTAACCTATATGCTGCAATAAGATTACTTCATTTGAAAACACATTTGCTATGATTGTCCTTGTCCCAATGTGAGAGCTCGAGTGAAACAATGCAGATAAGCTCTGGAAAATTGTTCTTCAATGTTTATTCTCATCATTCTCTGGTATATCCATGAATCTACCCAATGTGTTTTCCTATGGATAAATACGGCTGTGCTTACACTAATAAATCATGAGCTGAAGCTGTGGCCCCAAGTGCGTAGCTGCGTGATTTTCATCAATTGGATTTTCTCACTTTGCGCATGTTTTATAATGTGGCAGAGAACTATATGTGCACAGGCAGGTGGACAATACCCATACCAACTCTAATCTCACAGTTATAGAAGCTGGAGTAACACATTCACACTCAATAAAATCTGTAATACTATCAAGTGGCCCAACTTTGAATCAAATTACACACTTATGTCAGAGTAATCAACAAGTGTTGGCAATAGTATATATTGGAGATAAACAATACCCTGTTCTGCGGTCTTGTTTGTTGCATGTACTGTATCTTGGATGTTTGTGGGCTCTGATAAGGATTGCTTTTTGTCAACCGGTTCTATGATAAAAGGCAGTAGGTAGAAAGGGGTCCAGGTTGGGGGACTCCTTCACTTTATTAGTTGTGGAGTGTGGTGCCCGTCATGAAGAGCAGACCTGGGCGTGCAACAGACACTGTGCAAGTGAAACGAGGTGGGGATAGAGATCAAGCAACTCCACATTGAGGCCGTGAGCTCCACCTGCTAAAAGGAGCCTGCCTTCAGCAGAAAGTGTGGAGCAGTCAAGTATCTCAAGGTCTGAAGCGAGTGATTGACAGAAGGTTGGGTGCGGCGTGTGCATTCCCTATATCGCTCTTGGATAATCGCTCAGTCTATGTGCGCATACGGTCATGAGCTTTTGGTTATAATCAAAAGGAAAAGGTTGCAGGTTACAGCACTCTGAAATGATGGGCAAGACTTTCTTCACTATATACAAAAGTGAAAGACGTTTAAATATTTTGATAAATTGTTACAATTACATATGACAAAGAGTCAATCCCAATTAGTCTCATGAGTAATTCCCATCTTGTTATCCTTGGTGAAAGAATCAATCTAATAATGATGTGTCTTAAATTGTGTTGTCTATAATTTGACTGACATTTTGTCAAGAAAGACCATTCTAGTTGGGCACTCCAACAAGTGATGGAATATCGGCTTACTTTTTTCAGTATAGAGTATCTAACTAATTACTTTGATGTAACTATAACAGCCGTTTTGCATTGTCCGACATCGTTACTGCGGCGTTACTCAAGAGCACAATGAGCTTCTCTTTTTATTTTGTGTTAGGACTCGTGCGAGTGATGTCATGAGAGAAGGGAGGATGAGAAACCTCTCAGCAAATTATTGGCTACTCGACTGGAAGAACACGCACCCTACGAAGAGGTGGTGATAGAAGGTCAGAGAGAGTACAGAGAGAGAGAGAGAGTACAGAGAGAGAGCAGAGAGACTAGAGAGAGCATAGAGAGTACAGAGAGAGCAGAGAGACTAGAGAGAGAGACCAGAGAGAGACTAGAGAGACACCAGAGAGAGAGCGGAGAGACTAGAGAGAGCATAGAGTACAGAGAGTAGAGAGAGAGCAGAGAGAACAGAGAGAGAGCAGAGAGACTAGAGACAGAGCAGAGAAAGACCAGAGAGACTAGAGACAGACTAGAGAGAAAGACCAGAGAGACCAGAGAGAGACCAGAGGGAGAACAGAGGGAGAACAGAGAGAGACCAGAAAAAGACCAGAGAGAGACCAGAGAGAGCCTAGCCAGCTCTGGGTCATACAGAACCATCGGACTCACCCACGAACAGGTGCTGGTCTCCGTCGTTGCCGTGGCGACTGAGCAGAAACTCCACCATGTTGTCGGTGTTGGCGAAGATGTCGTCGTCTCCGCTCATCAGGAAGCGGCAGCGGCGAGACCGGGTCTGGAACCAGTCCAGGAACAGCAGCTGCTTCAGCGTCAGGTTGTAGAAGGAGTCGGTGAAGTCCCACTGCAGGAGGTCCCCGTAGGTCCTCCCCTCCTCCTGCAGGAGCTGGTCCAGGTGCCTCCTCTCCTCGCCGCTCCCTCTGGTCCCTGAGATGAAGACCCGGCGGATGGTCTTCCCCCAATAGCTCCGCTCTTCGGCCCAAGTCTGACGGAGAACCTGGGATTAAGGAAGACATGTGAGTGCCAGAGAGAGAGACCAGAGAGAGAGAGTAGAGAGAGAGAGACCAGAGAGAGAGAGTAGAGAAAGAGTAGAGACCAGAGAGACACCAAAGAGAGACTAGAGAGAGACCAGAGAGAGACCAAAGAGAGACTAGAGAGAGAGTTACAGTAGAGATAGAGTAGAGACCAGAGAGAGACCAGAGAGAGAGTAAAGAGTGATCCAGAGAGAGAGACCAGAGAGAGAGAAGAGAGACCAGAGAGATACAAGAGAAAGGGACCAGAAAGAGAGCAAAGGGACTGAGAGATGAACGACACGAAGGAGAACTCTGAGGAGCACAGGGACCGGTCTCCTGCTGGTCCCAGAGTCTCTCTTTAGTCGCTCACTTAGTTTTGATTTTCTTCTATCAGGATCCATAAATAAATACTAAATAATATTAATGTCCCAAACCTGTCGTCGTTCAAAGTTCTGTGGCGAGCTCTTGATGACCAGCAGCAGGAAGATGTCGTCCCAGGGTTTCTCACTCTTGTCGGTGACGTCCAGCAGCATCGGGAAGTGGCGGCAGTGACGGAGGGAGAGGAAGTCCTGAGTGAGCGCAGGCAGGAGGCTGAAGCCCGGCGTGAGAGAGACCGACGTGTTGCGCTCGCACTTCTCTCCTCTGTACGGGGCTTCACTCCGAGGCCAGCTCTCCCCAGGGGGTTTCTCCTCATGTTGTTGGATTTGTAGCATTTCTCTCATTTCTCTGTCTTTGCTCATAGACAGAAGCAGCATCACGAAACACACAGCGACGAGAAGAAGAAGGTACCTCTGTTTAGTCTTGATCATGATGAGGAAGGAGGAGAGAGACCAGAAAGAGAGAGCAGACAGAGCAGGGAGAGACCAGAGAGAGAGCAGGGAGAGCAGAAAGAGAGAGAGAAGAGAAAGCAGAACGAAAAACCAGAGCAAGAGAGCAGGGAGAGACCAGGATGAAAGACCAGAAAGAGAGAGCAAAGAGAGAGAGAGAAGACAGAGAGCAGAGAGAGACCAGAAAGAGAGAGCAAAGAGAGAGAGAGAAGACAGAGAGCAGAGAGAGACCAGAAAGAGAGAGCAGAGAAAGCAGGGAGGGCAGAAAGAGAGAGCAGAAAGAAAGACCAGAGGGAGAGATCAGAGAGAGAGAGGCCAAAGAGAGAGACTAAAGAGAGATCTGACAGACAGAGATCAGAGTAAGACCAGAGCAAGACCAGAGCAAGACCAGAGAGAGACCAAAGAGAAAGACCTGCCAATGACAAATAAATAACTCACTTCAGGAAAATGGACTCATTTATAAAACAGTTCTGCCAACTTCTAAAGGACGGAGAGGGATTTGAACACATGAAAAACATTATTTCACTTCTGATTATTCAAATCTAATTTTTGGCCTTTTGTTAAACTTGGTTTGTTCAAACTAAAGGTACAAAAGTTTATCTTTTTCTCATTTAGGAACTTTGAACTGTATGATTCTCTAATCTGCTGTCAACACATTGAATTGAAAGATTTTAGACTTCCTCCTTATCATGCTAAAGTTAGAGATTTTATACTAGCTTCTTTATTATGCTAAAGTTAGAGATTTTATACTAGCTTCTTTATTATGCTAAAGTTAGAGATTTTATACTAGCTTCTTTAATATGCTAAAGTTAGAGATTTTATACTAGCTTCTTTAATATCCTAAAGTTAGAGATTTTATACTAGCTTCTTTAATATCCTAAAGTTAGAGATTTTATACTAGCTTCTTTAATATCCTAAAGTTAGAGATTTTATACTCGCTTCTTTAATATGCTAAAGTTAGAGATTTTATACTCGCTTCTTTAATATGCTAAAGTTAGAGATTTTATACTAGCTTCTTTATTATGCTAGAGTAAGGATTATTGTCCAAAGAACAAACAAATCTAACTTCTACTGAAGTATGAAAAAAACCGTATATGTATTTTAATACCCATGATATAAATCTGTTGAAACAAGACTAAATACCCTCACCTGGTGCGTGTGAGCCTCACCTGGTGCGTGTGAGCATCACCTGGTGCGTGTGAGCCTCAGCTGGTGTGTGTGGAGTCACGTCTCCATGGTCTGAGTAGGTTTTGATACTGGTTCAACTCGTCTCCTCCTATCACTGAGTTTATCACAAAAGGCGGGGCCCGGGGCAAACCTGCAGACTGGGACCGGGCACTGTCAACACAGGCAAGGCAAGTTTATTTATATAGCACAATTCATACACAAGGCAACTCAAAGTGCTGAACAAGATAGCATTAAAATCATAAATAATCACAGAACATTAAAAAGAAAGATAAAAATATAAAATCCCTCAGTTGTATGCACAGCTAAGCAGCCTCCCCATGTTTAGTCCTGACTCTGGGCACTAACAGGAGTCCAGTCCCTGTGCAGAGTCAACACAGAGAAGAGTTACAACAGTTACTATAGAACATGTGACTAATACAACAGTTACAGTACTATAGAACATGTGACTAATGTAAACAACAGTTACTATAGAACATGTGACTAATGTAAACAACAGTTACTATAGAACATGTGACTAATGTATACAACAGTTACTATAGAACATGTGACTAATGTAAACGGCGGCACGGTGGCTGAGTGGATAGCACTCTCGCCTCTCAGCAAGAAGGTCCTGGGTTCAAATCCCGGCTGGACCAGGGCCTTTCTGAGTGGAGTTTGCATGTTCTCCCCGTGTCTGCGTAGGTTTCCTCCGGGTGCTCCGGTTTCCCCTACCACTAAAAATATGTCCAATAGTTCTGGCATGCGCCTCCTGTACTGGCCCTGCTCCCATCTCTGTGTGGAGTGAGAGACAAATGCCCAAAATTAACAATTGTAAACCACTTTGAGACTCAGATCTGCAGTGAAAAGGCGGTATATAAATAAAAAACTTACTTACTTACTTACTAACTTACTAACTTACTTACTAAACAACAGTTACTATAGAACATGTGACTAATGTATACAACAGTTACTATAGAACATGTGACTAATGTATACAACAGTTACTATAGAACATGTGACTAATGTAAACAACAGTTACTATAGAACATGTGACTAATGTATACAACAGTTACTATAGAACATGTGACTAATGTAAACAACAGTTACTATAGAACATGTGACTAATGTATACAACAGTTACTATAGAACATGTGACTAATGTATACAACAGTTACTATAGAACATGTGACTAATGTATACAACAGTTACTATAGAACATGTGACTAATGTATACAACAGTTACTATAGAACATGTGACTAATGTATACAACAGTTACTATAGAACATGTGACTAATGTATACAACAGTTACTATAGAACATGTGACTAATGTATACAACAGTTACTATAGAACATGTGACTAATGTATACAATAGTTACTATAGAACATGTGACTAATGTATACAACAGTTACTATAGAACATGTGACTAATGTATACAACAGTTACTATAGAACATGTGACTAATGTAAACAACAGTTACTATAGAACATGTGACTAATACAACAGTTACTATAGAACATGTGACTAATACAACAGTTACTATAGAACATGTGACTAATACAACAGTTACTATAGAACATGTGACTAATGTAAACAACAGTTACTATAGAACATGTGACTCATGTAAACAACAGTTACTATAGAACATGTGACTGAGATTGAGTAGCCTTTTTGAGACAATCCAAATAATTTCTGAGTTGTTTATTTGGTTGGGACAGTGCATGTTAATGAACACCTCTCAGGATTTTAGCCTTGGGCCACTTTGCATTCACTGTCCCCCAGTCGCTGTTGGAGGATGTACGGTACAGCAGAAACTAAAAGCAGTCAGGACATCTGTCAATAATCACAACTTTCTCCAGGTCACAGCCATACTGCAAATGTTGAAGATATAGTTATTTCCACTGGGCGTTACAGTCATATAAACTATAAATAACATTTCCTCTGGACTCACCTGCAGGAGGATCAGTGAGGGGCTGGTGCTCTGCGTGGGTGCAGCTCTGACTGCCGTCCAACCATCCATTTTCTTTCCCTTAATCCATTTCTGGGTCGGGGGCTGGCAGTCAGAGCTGCACCCAGAAGAGCACCAGCCCCTCTCTGATCCTCCTGCAGGTGGTGAGTCCAGAGGAGGACGGCTGCTCTGTCAGTGACAACATGGCCTTGATCTTTCAGCAGGGGGCTTCAGTATCTTGCCCAAGGACACAACAACAGCAGACATCAGTGGGGGTCTTGAGAACATCTAACATCTAAATGACTGAATGAAAACATAAACAAAAGAGTCAAATTGTTTAGATAATTCAAGTAAATACTACAATTTTAAATAGTTCTATACAGTGTAAATAATAATAATAATAATAATAGATAGATTTTTTATTATTATTATAGAGATCATGGTATGGGGAAAAAACACTATATATCTTAATATGACCTGTACTATCTATGAACGCACTTGTTGAATGAATGGCGAGCTATGCCTACACGTGACACTTGTTTCGTAACCATATGCGCGTGGGGGTAGTTTATGACGAAAGTACGACAGAGGCCTTGATTGGTAGAAAACAAGCGCGACGTCTCATCTCTACTCTCGTTGACTATCGCGAGTCGTCTTTCACATAAATTCTTCCCGAGCATTACCAATCGGCCATTTCGTCGGTTCAGGCCATCAGCCGTAAAGGGTAGCGGGGTGTATCTTGTACTGGTAACCTGAAAGTAACATCAAGAACAGCACAATGAATGAGACGGCTATTTCGTTCGCCAAGGACTTTTTGGCTGGTGGCATTTCCGCTGCCATCTCCAAAACAGCCGTCGCTCCCATCGAAAGAGTCAAGCTTCTCCTTCAGGTAATGCTAACGCTCTCTTCCGGATGTAGCGCTATGCTAACCGGGTACCCGTGGACTTTCCCTGATATTCTTGTTACTGCGTTTAGGTGAAAAGATTTGGGCGTTAAACAATCCTTTTTACATATTATTTGTACTGACCTTATTTAGGAGTTGTAACCACTGTCAGTTGTGTGAATTAAACCACTGAGGTCACCAATGAATGCTACATGACCTACAGGAGCTCTGCGGCTAACGTTAGCATCCCACGTTAACCTTACCCGGCTCAGCTAGCTAACAAAGGACAAACGGTGAACTGACTTTGGAACACTATGTTCTATTTGTATTAATCGTTGATAATATGACAAGTAGATCCCTTGTAGTCTTACAGCTACAGTGTTCACCGCATTTCTTTATCCTGAATATTGTTGTAAGTGAAAGGACTATTGGCTACATGTTATTGGAGCTAACTACGAGATGGTTTTGCTGCTGCTCGACTGTCGGTAGTTTTAACCGAAATTCTCAAATTGACACTGAAAACTAATTTGGTTACTATTGTGAACAAAAAAACATGAGTTTGGAACGTTTTTTGGGCAAGGTCAATAACTGACTATGTCTAGTAGATTAATAACTAACCACTCTAATAAAACTTGACTGTCAAACTTTTTATTTGAGAGGTTACAGGTATGTGGCCCCAAGGTCACTTTAAAATACTGTGGTAGCTAGTCTCCACCATTAATCTGGTTTTAAATTTGTTTTTTTAGGTCCAGCATGCCAGTAAGCAGATCACCGTCGACATGCAGTACAAGGGCATCATGGACTGCGTTGTCCGTATTCCCAAGGAGCAGGGATTCCTGTCCTTTTGGAGAGGTAACCTTGCCAATGTCATCAGATATTTCCCCACCCAAGCCCTCAACTTCGCCTTCAAGGACAAGTACAAGAAGATCTTCCTTGATGGTGTTGACAAACGCACCCAGTTCTGGAGATACTTTGCCGGAAACTTGGCCTCTGGTGGAGCTGCTGGTGCCACCTCCCTGTGCTTTGTGTACCCTCTCGACTTCGCCCGTACCCGTCTGGCCGCTGATGTAGGAAAGGCTGGAGCCGGAAGAGAGTTCAATGGTTTGGGCGACTGTCTGGTGAAGATCTCAAAGTCTGATGGTATTCGTGGACTGTACCAGGGATTCAATGTGTCCGTACAGGGCATCATCATCTACAGAGCCGCTTACTTCGGCATGTACGACACAGCCAAGGGTATGCCTCTATTAACCGTTAAAATGAATGTATACATTTCCTTTGCTTTTTATCTAAAGTGCCTGTTTGTCTTCTGCAGGTATGCTCCCAGACCCCAAGAACACTAGCATTTTGGTGAGCTGGATGATCGCACAGTCTGTGACCGCTGTTGCTGGTTTGACCTCATATCCCTTTGACACTGTCCGAAGACGTATGATGATGCAATCTGGACGTAAAGGAGGTCAGTTGCATGAAATACTAAATTACTTGTGTATTTTGTATTTGACTCTAAATTGTCTTTCTTTCCAGCTGACATCATGTACACTGGCACAATTGACTGCTGGCGTAAGATCTTGCGTGATGAGGGTGGCAAGGCTTTCTTCAAGGGAGCCTGGTCCAATGTCCTCAGAGGCATGGGTGGTGCCTTTGTACTGGTGCTGTATGATGAGTTGAAGAAGGTCATGTAATTCCTATTGTCACTTCACTGTCAAAGTTGGCTAAAATGTAAAATCTTTCCATTACTATGGACTCTACATTCTGCCTTATTTATGGGAACAAAGTATGTCACCACTAGTTGTGGGCAATGGCAGTTCGTTGGCTGTAAGTTGTGCTTCTTTGATTTTTAAAACGTTCCACACCCTCTGTACCATGTCATTCCTATTAAAAAAAAACAAAAACTGATACCTCCTGTCATTCACTAGATTTGTATCGTTCCAACCTAAATAAATGCATTCTGGGAACAATCTCAACCATTGATCTCGAGTCTCCTCACAATGGCACAAGGCACTTCACTAGCTAATTAAATGCTCAAAGTGGATTACAACTGCTAAATTTACCAGTGCTTATCTCCTTTAGCCTCTGGTGTTAGTTTGCTCACAACTGTCCTTGACTAGGTTTGCCCTGCATGGCTTTTGCATCTTAAACCAGTGACCGAGCAGATTCTTAAGCTGCTGTATTCTAACCTCTAAAGTTGGTAAAATGCTCTAATTCACATATGTTCACTGTATTGACCTTAACTGCATACATTTTAACCTTCAACAATAGCTGCTTTCTTTAATTTCGGATTGTATGCCGCCCCTGTTTTGCGTCAGTTGGAATAAACTGGGAAGGACTCTTCTAAACCAATTTGTCTCTTGTATGTTTTGTGTAGGTTACCTTACTAAGTGGAAATACTAGTTTGACATAGTAATTTGGACTGGGGCAGGGCTTTCTAAAAGTAATGTTAAAGGAAAAGTAGAATTGGTATTTCCTTGATACTATGGCAATTTCCTTGACACCCAGGACCTGCACAAAAATTACAGTAGAGGGCGCCAGTGTCCTTCTCTAGCACGCGCCTCAAGCCGCGCAATAGACTAGCGCTTTATTGTATTACTGTTGGAAAGTGCACCAGATGTCCGTGGGTATAAATGTTTCAGAAAATAATGGATGTCTAGCAGGCACTGTTGACCAATAGAGTTCATGCATCATACACGTACTATACAAAATAAAGGGAGTCCAGGCATTCTGTGAAGTACAGGAAAGTACTAGTTTTTATTCCTTCATAATCAAACTTCACAAACAGCTTGAACTTGTACAATACCTCAGAGTGAAAATTACAAAAAAAGTGCTGGTAACATTTACAAAAATCATCCTTACTTAGCAACAATCAGTTTATTCTTCCACACTTTTTTTAGTCTTTTGTATTAAGGCTTAATACTTCTGTATAAAGTATATGCAAGATAAGTCTTCACAGTTTTTCGAAAAAAGTCACAATATTATGTAACATAATGAAGCTTTTACGGCTATTTTCTTTATAATAACAAATACACGTCACTGGTAAATATATGTGAAATACAGGGCTTATTGTAAAATGGCAAGTAATGATACTGTTTGCTGAGATAAATTGATTCCACACATGTTTATAGGAAAGTGTTGACATACCATTGCTATAACTGAACAGAGTTGAAAGAAAAAAAAAACACACAGGAGATCGCCTCTAAACTTTGGCAAATCCCATGAGACAATTTCACAAACATGTGGTGGACTATTTTAGAAATTAAATGTTATGGAAGAAGAGTGTCAGTGAAACATGCTGGGTCATAAGGTGCTATATCAGAGATATTACAATGCCAGCCTCTTCGCTCTCATGGCCCGACATGAATAAGGTGCATTTGTAAGACAAAAAGCATGTATTTTTTGTTATCCAAATATTATTTGACAACAACACAGTTTAACCAATAGTCTTGAGGCGACCTCTTTTATTCATGCATTTCCATGGGAGAGAGTGTGACTCACCAGTAGGTTTGTTACTTCTGTGGTATGTGAAAGTAAAAGCTGTTTTGTATGTAATCATGGACATTTTTTAATAATAATTACTGTTGAAATTGTGACAAACTTGATAAGGAGATGGGGTTAAAAACTGAATGCAGAACTAAGCCAAGATATATTCACAAGATCCTCTAAGCTGCACTGGTTTACAGGTCAACAGATGAGAGCTCTAGCCCTAAAACTTACCAATTCACCCTCATGCATACTGTACGGTTAAAGTGACGCAACAAGCTTGCTTAAATAGTCCACATCACAAAAAGCAATTTGGTTTTTAGTGCAAACACAATTGGCTGGCTTCAGCTTCTCAATAATTACAAGCTCACCAAGGAGATTACAAGAAGGCACATACTTATGCTTCCTCTAACACGCAACATATTTAGACAAACCGCAACATCTTTCAACAACACCACAAAGCGGTGAAAACAGGAAAGCTACTACATCCAGATAATGGTGAAATTTCACTGAATTATTGTCAAAATGTACACCAATGACAGAAGGTCAAATAGTGACAGGCGTTAAATGACCTTGTTTGAAGATTCTCGACCGATGATGATGAGATAAAGGTGCATTTAGTTTTGTTTTTTCCTCGAGAAGATGTGTGTGTTTTTTATTAGACGTTTTAAAGCATCCTGGACAAAATGGAGAGGTGTGAATGACTGGGCAGCTGGTTTATATTTTGGTTTTTGGTGTTTTTTACGTACAGTATGTATGGTTGCTGAAAGGTGGGTCATGGCAGCTGTGAGGTGAAGACAAAATGACAAATGGCAATCTTCCCTAATGCCCCCTCACATCTTTCTGATTTAAAAGAGCGGCTTGATTTGTCCAACACAACAACAAGGAGGAAACAACAGCTTTTTTTTATTTTTTTTTTATGTAATGCCCTTCAATATATTTTTGGACACTATTACACAAGGGATAAGTGCTGGATAATACAATGACACGCAAATGTGCATTTCTAAAAAAAACAATTCTGTACCTTTCAATACAACAAAAATGATCACCATTTACTCAGCATTCCCACTGTGGGTAAGTGACCAGATGATATCAGTGAATTATATTGCTTTTTGAAGAAAGAAGACCAACATAAGTCTAGTGCAAATCTCTTTTCTGGTTTGAGAAGTGGTAGCTGATGCAAAAAGTTACATTTTCTATATAAGCAATAACCAAGTGGTAAGTGGTATCCCTTATGTCAGTACAAAATTATCAGAATATGCAAGAATTTGGAAGGAAAAATATTCCATTTTATGGGTAACGCCTCAAACCAATTAACCAGCTCAAAAGCAAAAATATCCATTGTCTTCCATCTACAGACTGGTGTTCATCAAATCATCTTTCAACTTGGAAAATGTTGTTAAATCTCCCTCCAGTCCAGTGTTTGACAAATTACATTACAAAACGTTCCTTGCACATTTTTCAAAACAGCAGTCAGTACATTTCAAACAAGCTTGTCTCATGACAATAATAATATAATAATAAAACAGAACAACTTGGAACATAAATTATTCAAAAATAACTGACAATACATTTACTGCAGCATATATTTCAGGGTTTGCTTTGTTGTGATGTTAAAACTATACTGTGACTACAACAGCTCCACTTCCACCATGTTTTGAAAAGGGTAATTGTTTTTTGCCAGGGCAATAATAAAATTGCAGGCTAACATATGCAAAAAGAGAAGGAAAAAACCCTAACAAAATATACACATCTCACAAGTCAACTCAAGTGCATTTTCTTTACAAAAGCATCTACATACAAGATATGGCAGCAATAAGCTTGACAACAGCCTACCAGAGGGACCAATATTGTCCAATGTGATTTTGTCCTATTTTGAGCCTTTAAGGATACAAATATACAGCAGATTCGTCAACTCAGATCAACCATAGAAATATTGTCAAATCCAAACAATTTACATTCACGTTGCAGTACTGTGCTGCTTTTATAAAAATAGATAAATACATATGACGATGTTTGGACCGCATTGTAGTTCTCGGTTTGGTTTCCATTATTTTGGATGAAGTGGATAGTGGCTGGCACTGATTAATGCTTTCAATCTGAGTTTAAATCTAATTTTTCTCTTTTTTGACATGTGTATGATTTATTCTTTTTTTTGGCTTCAGAAACAACCTATATATATGTGCAAACTTAAATTCTTGGTCCATCTCAAGTATATAAATTGCTAAATGCGTTCCAAGTTGTAGTGAAAATTAAAAATGTAGGAAGTCTAAGAACACCAGGATATTTGACAAACCAAAATGCTAAAGTTGTCAACGCTAAATGTGTGCTAAGAGTATATAGAAAATTAGACCGATGAAGCCTCTTTGTCCTGTGCCAGATTCATTTTCTATTTCTGTTGCATTTCTTATGAAAAACAAAATCTATTTTGGTCTACAACAGGCAAGTTATTACACAACCAAAAGTGACAAAACATGGATAGACTTTGACCAGCACCCAACATGAAGACAAACTCACTGGACTAAAGCAACTCTAGTCTGATCACAAGAGCAAAACTGTCCACCAGAAAACTTAAAACATCTGCGCTTTCTTTGGTTTGGGAGCAAAAACATTGTCTAAATCACTTTTGTCCAGCGTCTACACATTACTATGGCCCCATTCACTCTGACCGTTTTGATTTGTGTGCCGCTACGACAGCACCAAGAATACCAGTCCGCCCAGAGCCCAGCCCGGAGAGCCTCTCACAAGATGAAAATCCACTTCCACTGCATTGTAAACTATGCAATAATAGACCATGCACGCTTTCAAATTGTCTCCCACAAAAGATGCACGGTGAAACGCTGTAAAGAACGTATCTATTTCTTTTCAGACGTGGAAAAACAAAGTCACCAGACAAGAAGCTGGAATGTTCTGGACAGGAATGCATGTGTTTTTACAATACAGGGAGCTGGACTGAGCTGAGAATACGAGGACAATTGGAGAGGAGTATGTGTAATCTTGAATGGCATAAGTACACCTCCATAAAAATATGAAAATAACAAAGCAGAAAAAGAAAAGTTGTACAGACATGACTGCAGAGAAGTAACCAGCAAAAAGTAAGAACTGCATGTTTTGAGAAAGCGTACTCTATCGTAGACTATGTTATAGCTTAGATAGCTGCGTAAAGCTTTTCGAAAACTACAATCTGGCTGTGTGGAGGGATGTGGAG